CTGTGTTTGTAGCTGCGGGCTCCCCACGCTCCCACGCCCACCCCACAACCCGGAGGGAGGAATGGGGAAGGCAAGTGTTTCATGGAGAAAAAAGTTGGCTCTGGAAGCCAAGGGCGTGCTTCTGGGCGCTTGTGAAGGAGGTGAGTGGGAGCCTTTTGTCACCCTTACCCCTCCGAGGACGCCGTCCCTCTGGAGGCGCAGGGAGAGCTCGTGTGCCTGCGTGTACGCGCGTGTACGTGCTAAATGTGGCGGCGCGGGCCGCGGCGGAGTATGCGCTCGGCAAAAATACGAATAATCAACACATCGCTCACACCTCCGTCGCAAGCCGGGAGAGCTGCAGGTCCCACGGGCTTTCCCTGCCGGCTGGCGTGAGGCGGGGACGTCCCGGAAAAGGAGAAGGGGGGGGCGGGTCTCAGAGTAGCTCTTGGGTTATCTTTCCCTTCAACTGAGCCCAGAAATTGAAAAAGAGAAAGGTACATTTAAGTATTTTCTTTCTTTCTTAAGGCCCTTTCCACGCCATCCTTAGTAGTGGAGGACTGCTAAAGGTTTTTGTTCCCTGTTTATCAACAGAGATGCCACCTCCCACCTCCCACCCTCATTTTGAGGACCTGCAGAATGGGACAAATAGTTCCCACATGAGAGGGAGCGCACAAGCTTAAGGGTGAGAAAGCCTTGCTGCTATTTCTTACCCAGACAGTCTTGATAAGTGGCAGGTCTCTATTCGTGTTTGCACCTTCCTCGCGGGGAGACCTGCTCGCTAGTGTCTCCTAATGCCTGTCGCTTAGTCTTCCTACCTTTGTGCCTTAAGTGCAGTGGTAACGGAGATGCCACCGCCCTGGGCATGGGTTCCTGCAAGGTAGAGAAGTTATTCTCTTGACCTTGTAAGTGTTCTTCGTCAGCTCAGGCTCCCTCGTTTTCTGCGCCTGGAATGAGGGAAGGGAAAGGAAGGATAGTACTGAAGGAGAATAAGGAAGGGAGAAAGAGCAGGCAAATGGGGAGAATGAAGGAGGAGGAGAAGGTGAGGATGAGGCACAAGACGGAGGAGGAAGAGACCATCTGAGTTGCCAAGTGTTACGGTTAAATCTGATCTGGCTCTTCCAATCCACTTTGGGTAAATTCAGTGCAGTGATCGAGGGGCTTGGGCGCATCACTGTGTGTGTGAAAAGCCCTTTTGGTGCCTCAGGATTTCTGTAGTTGTTCCTGCTCAAACCTCCTTTGCTGTATAAAAGCAAAACAAGCGTGTTCACTTCTCACAGAACCACCCTGAAAGCACGGCCCGCCGGGTGTGAGTGGTGGAACTCTCAGCAGATCTCTGTCCCAAATTCGTGCATAAAGTATTTTCGTTCCACCCTTCTCCCCTCTCTAGGGAATTTGCATTTATAGAATACACACGTCTAGTTTCCTGGAGAAAAATGCCAAAGTTGCAGTTTTGAGCGGAAGTTTATGAATTTGGATTTTTAAAAATCACTTCACGGATTGTGGATTGTATGGTCAAGAGATCTTGGAAATAGCTCTCAAAGCCATTTATTTCTAATTGGACAAATAAAGAACAAGAGTACTAGTTATTTTTTTTAAAGCCCAAATTGGAAATTTCTTGTCCAGAGAGAGGCTATGGGACCACCACTTACACAAACTAGACTAGCTGTCCCGGTGGATTGAACTCCTCCACACTAGTCCAGCTCTGTGCTTAGACTGTGTAGACCAAGGCGCCACCGGTCTGTGTCTCGAGTCGGGGGATGCTGGCCTGGGGAGGAGGTTCTAACACCTCAAAATTCACTGGGGGCCCAGCTGACAGGAACGCTTCCCAGCGAGTAATTTTAAGGGAAATTTTTCAAGTCTCTGGCTGTGAGCCCAGACGCAGCGCCCAGGAAGACTGGGCCGACACCACTGGGCAAATGGGCCTTGGTACCAATTAGGAGGAGGAGGAGCGCATCCCACTGAGGTGCAGACTGGGAAGAGGCACTGGAAAAATCTCGGAGCACGCGTTTAGGGAGAGTGAACAAAGGAACGCACGGGGTAAAAGAATGCCAACCCACCACCTCGGTTTTGTGTAAATAGATCTTAAGGGCGGGTTGTTAAGTGTTCATTTGGGCTTCTTCTAGACCTGGCCAGAAGCTGAACGAAGCTCTCCAGTAGGAGACAGAGAGACGCGCGCGGGCTTGGTACACCAGAGCCTGTCTTCCTGGGACGGTGATCGCAGCTGCGCCGGCCCGGCCCCGCGCAGCTCCGAGAAGGTTGAGGGGGCGCAGGTTCCCTGACAGGGTTCGGGGTAGCCGGAGGCGACAGAGATGGGTGCAGCCTCTGGGGCGAAACCGCCTCCGTTTGCGCCAGTCTTATAGCAAACCCACTTTCGGCGCGGGTGGCCAACTCTGTCGCCACCCCGCCCCCAAAACTACACACAAATAATTAAGCGCAACTTGGTTGGCAGAAATGCTTCTCTCTCGCCGAAGCGCTGCCCGCCGGGCCCAGCCCGCCTTTCCTTCGCCGTACTCGTCCGGGAACTGTGTCCTAGCCAGAAGGGAACTTCCGTGCCCGGGAGGAGTTACCCAGGGGACCCCCTCGCCGCGGGTCCAGCGTTCACGCCCTGCGCGCTGAGTGGCGCGGAGACGGCGCCCAGAGCGCAGCGGGATGCAAGCGGTGTCCCACTCAGCCAGAGTTCCGGGCATCGCCGACCTCCCAGGGGGGCCTGCGGCCCCTGAACTTGTCTCTGGGGTGGGGGTGGAATGGAAGAACCAAGCACGGTGCTCTGATTTGGGGAGGACAGCAGGAGCTGGGAGAAAGGAGCAATTCATTCTCTTCCTCAGAGGCATAATTTGGGTGGCAGCTGTTACTGGTGAGAAAAGCCCGAGCCCTCGACCCTGGTTCTGCCCTTTAACCCAAGTCAACCGGAGCCTGGGGGCAGACGGTCCCGACCAGGACAGGCCCACTGCAGACCCTCGGGATGCTCTGGGCACCTTTACCGCGTAGCATCCAGGTGCAGTCGGTCAAAAGCTCCTGCTGGGGGGAAAAATGACCGGGCTTAGTGGGGCATCTTGGAGGGCTCGGCGGCTTCTCCGCTGAGACACCCGGGTCTTGGCTCTGCTGGAAGCCAACTCCGGACATGAGGCGTGGGGTGTGAGTGGAGGTTTTGGAGAGATTTACAAAAAGAGCCGGCCAGAGTAGGAGACTCTGGGCTGCTTGGTTTTTGAGGAAGCCGACATTGTCCTTAAAGCCTGCAGAGAAATACTCAGTTGAAAAAACGGGGTAGTCAATTTCAGACCCACCTCCCTTCTTTGGGCAACTCTTGATGTGGCTTTTTACAATCCACGCGTTCCATTTTCTAGTCCCCACTTGGGTTGCATGTCATCTCTCACCTTTTCACGTCCAACTGGGAAGGCCAAGCTAGAGCCCTGGGACAGGGCGATACAGAAAGCCCGATGCAGGGTTTCACCTCTCCTCTCCCCCCAAATCCACCACCACAGTCCTTCCAACAGGGTCTGTGCAGAGAGGGTCCTTCCCACCCATTTTCAAGTGAAAACGTGTAGAGACAGTGAAGGCCAACGGTTTGGGTTTGCAGTTTGCCCCCTGGGGTGAGACGAAGGCCAGTGCAGAGTGTCCCTTTCCTAGGAGTGCCGTGGTCCTGGAAAGCCCGAGCTTCCAGTTGGCCCAGGCAAACGAGCTGCAAAGCGCTGTGTCCTCTAGCGGCAAACTCTCGCAGTTCATTTCTGAGCGCTCACCTACACCTAGGGGACCTGGATGGGAGTCACTAGACTCGCAAGTCTGAGCCCTAAGTGGGGTAAAGCTTCCTGCATGTCTTACAGGCTCCCGCCAATGCCTTGTGCGTCTGCAGCCGGCAGAGTCCGGCGTAGGCTTTCGAACTGCCGAGCAGCTGATCGTCTCCACGGCAGATGGTCTTTGAGCACAGATTTGCATTCATTGTCTTCAAATCTGTTTTCGCGCTGGTGTTCTAGATTTCAGCAGCAGATCTATGCACAGATCAGAGTACAAAAGGACAAGCAAGAAAATAACACCCAGCCAGGAGGATTTTAATAGGCACCGCGAGCAGCCCGGCGTAGTTACAAAGCAGTCTAGGGTTTCAGCTGTTCCGCGGAGCAGCCGCCGCCTCCCGGTCACCAGCCCGCGACCAGCACCGCTGCCACCGCGAGCGGGAACAAAATTCTCGCGACACTCGCTGTCCCCTGGGGCGCGGGGACCCGGGGAGGGCTTTGAGGGGGCTCTCGGTCTGCGCCCAGCCGCTTCGCACTCCGCGCCTCGATCTGTCAGCAACCTCTGCTCGGCGCGGGCGTCCCCCCGCTCGCTCGCCCTGGTGTTTTCTTTCCTAAACTCCACCGTTTCCCCGACTCTGTTTATTTGAACAGCACTTGGAGTCTCGCTCCTTCACACCCTGCTCCCGCCTTCCTTCATATATCTTCTCTCAGCAACGTGCACCCCACGCCCCGCACCAGAGGGTCACTGTGGAGCCTCAGGAGGTTTGGGACCTCCGATGCGGGAGGCAGGCGCCCGGGGGGCGTTTGCGCGAAACCCGAGCGCGCTTGGACTCGCTCTGCGCACTCCACAAACGCGCTCAGACCCCAACTCCCGGGGCGCAGACGCCTTCCGGGGGCTACAACAGCCTGCATCTCTAAGCAAACGCACGGAGGCTTCCCACCCCCGAGCCAGCGCATCGACCGCACTACACCGCGGCAGGGCAGGGTTGGGGGCGCCCAGCCTCTCCCGCCACGCGCGCGGGGTTCGGGCAAGGACGCGGCGCCCGCAGCTTTCTGTCCCCTTTCACCTCCCGGACGCCCGGCAACGCAGAACGTGGCGCGCGCCGTCGGAGGACGTCGGCCCGGCCTGCCCGGCGCCGGCCAATCCTGAACGCGCATGCAAATGAGGCTCCTTATCGGGCTGCGGCTCCGCCTCCCTCGGCCAGGGCCGTAGTAACCCATTCATGGAGCCCGCGCGCGGCAGCAGCCCTGCTCCGCGGCGCTGGCTGCCACCGCCTCCTCTCGGCTCCGGGTCTTACCCTTCCTTTTACAACTGAGACTGTTGGGGATTTTTTTTTTTTTTTTTTTTTCTAAATTGGATCTGTGGGGAGGAACACAGAGGGGGAGGGCGAACCAAGAGGAAAGGGGAACACTAGGCAGCTATCAATCTCCTGTTTCTCCCAGAACAGGTGATGCTCTGAATTGCGGCCACTTTCTGGAAGCAGCTCTGCAACTGGAAGGATGCGCGAGACATAGGGCGCAGGGCCGGGCGTCGGATCTGAGCGCGCGGAGGGAGGGCGAACCCCAACTTCGGCCGGCCGCAGCAGCCCGCAGTCTCGCGCCAAGAGAAAAGGACGAGTTATTACTATTGCTATTATTACATTATTTTTCTTCCAAGAGGGTCCCAAACTTCGACACTTGATCCCTTGCCTTGCATTGCTTTGGAGGAGACCGCTTGCTGGCTGCGTTGGAACAGTCACGACTGTTGTAACTCACTTTTTATATAAAAAAGCCAACAGTAGAGGATCAGACTTTTTAAATGTTTGGGATTCAAGATACGTTAGGAAGAGGACCAGCTCTGAAAGAGAAGTCACTGGGCGCCGAGATGGATTCAGTCCGGTCCTGGGTCCGGAACGTCGGCGTGGTGGACGCCAATGTCGCAGCGCAGAGGTAACGAGTCGGCCGCACCGTGACTGTGCTCTCGGGCTCTGTCTTGTCAGTGTGCCCTCTCCTTCTTGTCCTCGTCTCTCTCCTCTTCTCTCTGCCCCATCTGTCGCCTTAGCCCTGCGCACTGGCGTTGTCCCTCCTGCGTCCAGCTTGCCCATTCTGGGGACACTTTCCAGGCAGCCAGGTTGGGGTTTGGGAACTGCCTGGGTCGTTGGTTTTTCTCCTCCGCTCTTCCCCCGTATTTCACTTTCATAGACAAAATACAAAGTAGCATGGAATCCCTTGCACCTCAGCCCTTACTCCTGTGAGCATAGGAGTCCCAGCCGGCAGCCCAGCTAGGAGACCGGAGAAGGTTCCCTGGCCACTCCCTGGGTTCCCCACGCCGCCTGTGAGTGCGTGTCTCGCCGGAGCTTCCCAGAGACCCCGAGCCCTGCCGCCAGATGGTGGCGGCAGCAAGAGGAGCTGGGGAGGCCTGAGCCGTGGCCGGGAGGGCGAGGTAGCTGGGATCTTAGCGAAGGAGAAGGACAAGCAAAGAAGCAAAAGAGAGAGAGGGGGGGGGAGAGAGAGAGAGAGAGAGAGCGCAGAGCGAGAACCAGACACGCGGAGGCAGGAAGAGAAGACGTGAAAAAGGAAAGAGGAAGAGAGGAAGGGAGCCCGACCGCAGACCAGACCGGATCGCAGCACCATAGCGTCCGCGTCCCTAAAGCTGACATTGTTTCCGAGGGTCTGTATGCTGAGACGATAAAAACCTTGTCCGAGGTGCCACCCCGCGGAGACATCCCGGTCCCCTTGTCTCTTCACCACTTCTGAGCTGGGACTTGTGGCCTGTGTGTTGTGTTCTGCGAGAGCAGCCCCGAGCCCATGAACTTCTCCCTGGACTCTCTCCTCCTCATCGGCCGCGCTCGCTCGAAGACACCAGTCTCGCGTCTTGACCTCACACAGAGAGAGGACCCATTTCCAAGACGCGCCGCATCTCCAGGTGTCCCGGGTAGAACGAACCGGCCGCCAGTCATGGAGGAGAGGAGCCGGCAGTCGCAGGGCCTAGGAACCCGGACTTTGTCCCCGTCGGAACAGTACACGCCAGTGTCCCCACGGCGGACAGTACAGAGCGGTGGCAGCGGCTTCTAGCGGAAGGGGCCCGGGGACTCAGCCTGGCAGCGGGCGACGGCAGAGAAGGCACAGCCAGCTCTGAGGCGCATTTGCTCTCGGGGGCTTCTTGAAGTCGCTCCGTTTTGGTCCTCCCTGCCCACAATCAAATAGTTGGTTAAAGTTGAATGGAGATCCGAGTTGGGGGGATTGGAGCCACAATGTTGCACCCTTGAAAAGAATGAAAGTGCTTGTGTTCCGGACCGTAGGTCGGACGACCTCAGTGCCTCAGGGCACCTTCTGCCCTCTGTGCCCCCCAGGCCTTCGGACGAAGGTGATCTAGTGGCCACTTAGGCGCTGGCCGCGACAGGTAGGCAGGAAGGGGTGTGCAGACACTCCTAGCGCTCGAGGGCCCTTCCCGGTTCCTTGACTCTTTTCGGGTCAGCCGTTTTACCTGGCGCCGCGGGAAGCGCAGCCTGAGCGTCGCCGCGTCGCCTGAGTCTCCACGAGAAAGCTGCTGTCTGCCTCTAAACGCGCTGGCTTCTTCAAGCAGCTCCGCTGGTGAAGGTCTCCAGTGTGTCACACGGGGGCCCTGCCCTCCCGCAGACCGGGATACAACTTTTGGGAAGAGCAGGAAAGGAGCGCAGTGAGGCCTATATTGCCCAGAGGTGGGCTCTGGGCATCGCACTCTGCCCTCGCCCTCGCCTATGCCTGCTTGGGGTAGTGTCTCCAGGACAGGTAGCCCCTGACTAAGCAGAGGGTAGGCTTCAAATGCAAATGAGGCCCTCACCCCGGTGGCCCCGTCCCAGTTCATATTCTGCTGCAGCTGGCCGGGCCACCTAAGCGCATGGGGCTGTCAGGAAGGGACGCAGAAACGGCTTGGGGGAGGAACCGCTCTGGACCTCAGCTGGCCAAGGGGGTCCTTGGGTTTCCCCCAGTGGCTGTAGTGGGACTCTGGAAGGCAGGGAATTGGCCCACAGCCACAGTGACTCCTCTGTGGAGTCTGGGCTTCTTTACTGAAGAGACAAAAGCCTGAAGGCCCGGGACTCTGAGTCTGGGACAGGACCCGGGCCTTCTGTGGTGTTGCTTGGGCCCCTCAGTAACACCTTGTCTTTTCTCTCTTTCCTTGTGTTGGGTCCCCTCCTGTCTCTTCCTGTGCTGCGCAGCGGAGTCGCCCTGTCCCGAGCCCACTTTGAGAAACAGCCTCCTTCTAACTTGAGGAAATCCAACTTCTTTCATTTCGTCCTGGCACTCTACGATAGGCAGGGGCAACCAGTGGAGATTGAGCGCACAGCCTTTGTGGACTTCGTGGAGAACGACAAAGTAAGTGGACCCTGGCCCCAGCTCCCAGGCCTAAAAACCTCCTCCTTGCAGAGCGCTAAAGATTCCATCTGTCACTTGCGACACTTTTCCTCTTGAATCATCAGGGATGATAAATCCAGCCTTCTCAACCCCAGCCTCTAAATCAGTAGATTTCTCCCTCACCTCCTCCCACCTCACTCCCTTTCCTAATGCCGCAGGAACTCGGGGCTGTGCTCACCCAGCCTTGGGGATGTCAGCCGTGCGGCGAATGTTGACCCTTCCGAGCAGAGTTGAAAAGTGCACCCAGGGCTGCCACCACTCTTCTCCAGATTGATTTTATTATTTTCACCTGCCAGTTGGTCTGAGTGGGTTTGACTCAGCCCTAGGGAGAACCTCTGCCCAGCCTTGGTCTGCCTTCTGGGGTGCCTTCTTTCGAGCTCTGCTCCAGGCTTCACCACCTTAGAGCTCAAGCCCAGATTTGGGGGCTGAATTTGATCTCAAATAAAGGACAATCTGTTTGAAACTATAGGCAACCCAAGGAAAGTCTGGTGCCCCTGCACAGCCTCAGTCTCCTGGTTGTACAGTGTGGTACAAGTACTTCAGGCTCTCTCGGATCTGGAACTCGGCTCCAAGCTCTGGGCCCAGATGTCCAGGTGGTGGCCTGTTAGGGCCCAGTGCTGCCATTTCCAAATGACAGGTCCCTTCACCCTTCTGGCAAGAATTGCCTGGGGGCCTCCTAAAGATAGACAGAGCCAGATGGGTTGGGTGGGGCCTGTTTAAAGGCTGAGTTGGTGAGGTGTCCGGTTATCACACTGTGGGTCTCTGCACTGGTGATGTTTTTAAGGGGCAGAAACAGAGGGTTGGAGGAGGTCAAGTTGCTGTGAGCCATGATAAATTCCCGAAGTAGCTGATAATGCTCCAGTAGGCAAAAGCTTCTTTCCTCCTGCCCACAACTGGGCAGAGGAGGCTGTTCAAGGTGGTTGGGAGGTGGTATGGAGGAGTGGCTCTTTCCTAATTTTTTTGGTGGGGGGTGAAAGGCAGGGGAACCCAGTGCCTTCTGTCTTTCCAGGAACAAGGCAACGAGAAGACCAACAACGGCACCCACTACAAGTTACAGCTCCTATACAGCAATGGTGAGACCGGTGGGCAGCGGGGGCAGGCGGCGGCAGTGCATCAGGCACGCACACAGGGCTGGCAGGCTCAGGGGGACTGGTCTGCAGGAGGCTTGGTGGAGCTGGGCACTGGGAGAGACTCTGGCTAAGTGGCAGCTCATTCCGGCCCCCCTGGACGGGGGACTTCTAGGAGAGGAGCACGGCCCTGACTCCTGCCTGTCCCCTCTCCTGCAGGTGTCCGCACGGAGCAGGACCTCTACGTCAGGCTGATCGACTCGGTCACCAAGCAGGTGAGCCTAGTGGGAGGCTTGGCTATTCCTCAGCCCCGCACCTCCTCTCCCGCATGCTTCCTGGTCCGGACTCCACACTTTCTTCCCATTACTCTGCTCCTTTTTTGCTCTGGAGGGAAAATGTTTCGTACTCCTCCAGTTGACCGGTCTAGGTGGCTTGGGGAGATGCTGGGGACCGAAGCAGGGAGGAAAGGGGTGTGGAGAAGAAGCAGCCACGGGAAGATTCAGCCCTTCTACCTCAAGCATGCCTTTCTGCTAAGAACTCTGGGACAAACTTCTATTACTGCATCAGCCTAGTTAAGCCGGCAGCCGCTCAGATTCGGAGAGCTCAGGGACCTCTAATGAGGTAGAGGTAGGAGGGGAAGGAAACTTGTGCAGGTGCTAAAGTCCACTTTGTGTCCCCCCACCCCATTTCATATCTTCCCTGCCCCTTTTCCCCTGTTTGCAGCCCATAGCTTACGAGGGACAGAATAAAAATCCGGAAATGTGCCGAGTTCTCCTGACACATGAGGTGATGTGCAGGTAAGAGCCACCTTGTCCCGGGACCCGTGGGAACCTAGGGCAGGTGGGTGCGTCTGCCCCAAGCGCGGGCGTTGAAGGAGCCCAGGCGCCAGGGTAGATTCGCCAGGGGCAGAGCCATTGAAACCCTTCTGCCTTTTAAGGCCAGTTCCTTAGATCTAGTGGTTAGGGAAGGAAACCCAGAAGATTCTAGTCCCATCCCCCCTGGCGTCTCGGGAGTTCCCATGCCTTTTGGACAGCCCGGGGTCCCGGCACTGGGCTCCAGCTTGGGATCTGGGACTTCCCCTGAAGGCATCTCGGCAGCGGCTGGGTTCCCGCCCGGCTGACTCCTGGTAGAACTTCAGCCACTTGTGGAGTTAGCTGCAGAGTCCAATCTTTGGGACGCAGTCCCAGTCATTCTGTTGTTCCGAGGCACCTGTCTGCGACACGGGGCATTTCTTTTCTCCTGGGGAAGTCACTGCTACGATTTATGTCAGAGTGCTTCTTAGGCCAGGAGGAAACACCCTGTAGAAAGATCAGTCCTGGCCCACACGAGTGGGTCTAGAAGCGGGGAGACGCCCCATCCCGGGCTGGGTTGTGCAGCCGCGGCTGGGTTCCGCGGACCGCTGTGTGAAAGCCGCGGTCTGCGGGTTTCTGCCCTTTTTTCATCCGCCTTCCGGCACAGATCCATTCCGTGTCCCGGTGTTCTGCGCTTTTTCTTCTGCGTGAGTAGAAGAAAATAAATTAGGAGAATTTCATCCGTACACTTATTCTTTGGCCAAATATTTTTTGAGCGTCTAGTACGCGAAGATTGTTGGGTGTTGAGGTCCTACCGCAAATGAGAAGAGGTAGAAGGACATGGACGGCGCATGGCCAAAGCACTCTAAAATTGTAAATGTCTATTTCATAAATGAATTTCTTTCGACGCCACCCCATAATCCGATTGGGAAGAAAAACCTTGGTTCTTCTCACTCTGCTTTTGCTTCCGTGTTTTCCAACCCCAGCCTTGCTAGTTTGGGGCAACTGAAGGCCATGACTTAGAAGGGACTAGTTTAGGGTCAGACCCCTGAAGCTCTCTCTATCTCGCCTGTCAGCCCAGCCAGGAAGAAATCATCACAAGGAGACACGTTTGTTTTGATTTTGGTTTTGACCAAGTATTAGAAAAGCAAACTTGCCAAATGCAAAGTGAAAGTCTGCCGGTGGCTTTTGCTGAGGGACACTGAGACCGCCTCAGCCGGGTGGCTGGATGAGAGGTGGGGAGGTGGAGGAGGAAGATAGGTGGCTACCCCCTTACTCCAGCGCCCCTTGATAGTCTCGTTCCAAAAAGGAAATACAATTCAAAGATGCACCTGCATATAATACCTAAACTAAACAGAATGCTTTCATGTGGGTGGGTCATCAAAGGCAGTTTTTCTTTGTTATTCCTCTTCACTGTCAGGTGTCTTTGTTGGGAGAGATAGCCTTCCAAACAGGGAAGGGACCGCACCCCTAAACGAGTCCATTCTCGAATGGATTGCACCTACTACTTTGACTACTACTTGCCCACCCCATCCGGCTGTAGTTAAGCCTGACATTTTTATTTTTAAGCCCAATCAAATCCTTCTCATTTATGCTGTTTAAACAGCAGCATCAATTTTTAAAGCCTCTAGTTTAGTCTGCATTAGTAACACAATATAAAAATTTAATGTACTGTAACTTCTCTACAGTGGGGATCTGGGAAGATGCTCTGTTACTTTCTTCCCAAACTAGACTTGAAAACAAATATTAATTATGGGTAAATAAATGATCCATCACATGGGTAGTGTCTGCAGTGTGTGTGTGTGTGTGTGTGTATTCGGAGATGAGATAGGTGTAGGCAAATATTGGCTGCATCTGAAAGGGAAATTCTCATTCAACCTGAAGCACTTCACTCTCCAGAAGGAGGAAAGTTCCTTCTCCCACAGTTCAAGAGCTGGCTATGGCAGTCAGGGTTGGGGCGGCGACTCTGTGGGTCCTGCAGGTCCTTCCTGGCACTGGCGCGGTGTTAGCTGGTATACCTGGGTGCTTCCTGGATTGGTTTTATGTTCGATAATCTTTTATAAAAGGCTCACAAATTGGTGTTTAGCATTGAGGGGGGAACAAAACAAAAGGACCAAATAAATCTCTTTAGCAATAACTTTTTTCTCTCCCCTAATCATCTCCACCCTTCTTGTCCCTGCTTTAGTTCACTTTGCCAATTATTAGCAAGGAGAAGTCTAGTTGTTATGTTGCTGCCAGCCACCCCTGTGCCCTTAATGCTCAGAGGGTTAAAAGATATTATAATTTGAACAGAAGTCGTCTCAAGGCCTACAGCTGGCTAATAACAGAGTTGTATTGAGCGCGAGCAAAGCCCACAGCTGTGACTTTCGCCACAAGGCGCGGGCTAGACAGGGCCCTAATCAGCCGGGCCAGCCGGGCAGTGGGGCCAGTGTCTTTATCGGCCAGATGGTGTGAATTTAGACACTTTTGTTATGCAATCACAGGGAGGAGTTGGGGAGAAGAAAACAAAACAAAAGCCACCATGCTGTGCGCTTATTTGAGTTTGAAATTAGAGACAGATTTTTGAAAGTTGAGGGTTGAATTTAAAAAAAAAAACGATGTTGGAGGGGGAAAGGGATGCATTAGCTTATCTTGAGCTGGAGTTTGGCTGACTGGACACCCGATGTCCAAGGCTGGGGACTTTTATTAGTAGTAGTATTTTTTCTTCCTCAGCCATCTTTAATCTCTTTCTTTTTTCTGCTTCCAGGTGGGATGGAGGATTGTGAGACGATTTCTCATATCCCCTCCACCCTGCACCCCAACTTGCCTCATTCTTTCTCTTTCCCTTTTGCAAGACACTGCGTGGAGGCAGGGGTGCTAACAGGGGTGCATAAACACATTGAGAGTGTTTCAAGGAGAAGGTTCTCCAAGGAAGTACTGGAGTAAAGTCAATCAAACCAAGCCAGCCAGAGACACCACTTTCATTCATTAGTGAAAAGGAGCACCCTGAGCCCTCCAGACTACCAGAGTAGTTAGGAACACAAGTTTAACCTATTTCCAAGCTTAGTTTCTTTCTTTCTTTCTTTCTTTCTTTCTTTCTTTCTTTCTTTCTTTCTTTCTTTCTTTCT